CTTGAGGTGAGGCTGACCAGGCTGTAGTTCCCTGGGTCCTGCTTTTCGTCCTCTCTGAAGGGCTTTTTCCTCAGAAATGTATAAAAACTGTCTTCCAGGTCATCTAGAGATAGGAAAAACTTCTGAACAGATATTGTATTGAGCTGATAACAAGGTCCATTGGAAGTCCCAGAAAAGGAGAGGTGATGAATCACGTCTAGTGTATATCCATGGAGTCCAGGAGCAGCAGGGGATGAAGATGGAGGCAAGACTGTAATATGTGCCAAAGGTACTTCCTGAAGACTGGGCTGCAAACAGAACCCAAGGAAAGCTACGTACACTACCAACAAGGTAGGTCTAAGGTCCATGCAGAAAACAAGGCTGGAGGCATAACTTGAGACAGGTGTAATTACAATATGCTTCTGGCAGACTGAATGCCCAAGCCTACATTTAAAAGGAGTACCTGGAGCAAGGTGCAGAGTGTGTCGGTGGGGGTCCAAGGCTGTTCAGGACAGTTAGGGCCCAGTGGTACACTCAGGGCCCTGACAGTGCAATCTGTAGCTCAAGTTAAGCTATCTGAAAATCTGAGACAAAGCCAGGCCATGCAATTAGTGTCATAAAAAAGGATGAAGCTGTAAAACACTATGGCTTTAGCCACATCTTACTGATGAGCAAGAAGGAAGAAATTCACCTTGGAGAAGAAAAGCTGTCACTGCTTCACATTCTGGAATTTCTCTTATGAATGTGATAGCTTGGAATGTGACATACAAGGGAAACAGCAGATTGCTGCCGAAATCTGGACAGATGATTTTTCTCAATATCAGCCAATCATGAAGATAAGGGTATTCATGTAACTTTGCTGGCAAACAAAATTAGTTGTAGCATAAGTGTTTAGTCAATATTCTAAACATTTGATAAAGTGCAGAGGACAGCACTTCGAATTCATGGTTTCCCCCTAATATCATGAATGGAAAAAACTTTCTTTATTCTGGATGTTATAAATCACAATTATCTAATCTGCAAGTTGGAGGAAACAAACAAAATTGAAGTGATACAGACTGGTAAGACAGAAGAACTGTCATGTGAAATTTAAAGGACACAAACATAATAAAGCAGCTGGTATTTAGTCTAGTTTGCCATTTGGGGTTTCCATGGTTTTATTGTAAGGGAATGGAATTTTCCCTAATTAGATTTCTCTGCTCTTTCTATGCATTAATTTTAGAGCAGTGGATTACAGAAATAAATCTGTCTCTCACTACCCTATGTCTTCATGAACATACTTACTAAAAGCAGGCAGGACTGCGGGATAAGGAGACTTAGTCTATACTTGAATCCACCATTTTTTTTCATGGAAAGATGAACATTAAATGATAGAGGCAACAGGAAGAGATTCCTATGAATCAGTGCTACTCTTGACTTCTGGGGGGAAGAAAAAGTGGGGGAGAGGTAAGGGGGGGGGGTTGATGTCTGAAATACATTCACCAAAGAGATAGGAAGAGATAAAAATTGTAAAAGAGATAAAATGGTAGAGTTTCTATATTTTATGGGCACTTAGGAGTCTACAATGTTTCATCATAAAGAACACAAAGTCTTTCAAAAAATATTAGCATGCACCAACTGTTGTTGGTACCTCCTGATTATTACCCTTTAGTCTGACACTTTCTTGGGAACCCTGAATCTGGTAACTAGTATTCTTCTCAACAACATTCCCATTGAACCTCAATTTAATTTCTGTGCTCACTGCTTCCAACTTGGACCTTGGTAATATTTTGGTAATATTTTCACTTGTCCTCCAACTAGCCATTCTTTTTAGACAAGACAGGCTTAAAATGTTCTTCACACTGTCTTCACAGTGTCTTGGAAGATGATCAAAGGTCATTATCTTACCCCACTGTATGCATTCACAAAGCCTGGTAATTAATTATTGTAACCTGAAAGAATAGTAGCCAGTTATCTTCTTCCAAAAAGATCTAACCTCCTTAGTTCTTTATGCTGCTTTGTAGATTGTCTGAAGTTTTTCTTAGCTACATTTATAATGAAGAGAAGAATGCGGGAGAAGTATACAAATATTCAAAATCTTCAGATGAAACTTTAAAAACCCATGCATTTCAAAGTAAATGAAGCAGGAGTCTAAGTCCAAAAGTCACTAATAGCATCCAAGATTCCCTCATTTATTGGCAAGATGACCTGGCTGTGTGAGGTTGGCTGGCAACATCAGAAGTTTAAATGTCTTTTCTTGTACCACCTTCAGAGGAACCCATAAGACTTCCTGGCACTCTCTGAAGTAGTCCTGGAATGCCTCCAAACCATCCATAGTGAAAGATGCAGATGGATTTACAGCTTTATCCACCAAGGATGATGAAAGTGGAAGGTGCAAAAACACTTTCACCAACTTCAAGAACAAGAGAAAACATATGTAAATGGATTTTCACTGGGGAAAAAGGAAAAAAAAAAAAAGAGTTTGATAATACAGACTGAATGGAAAAAGTCTTGTGGAACTCAGGGGGGAAAAAAAAGGAAGAAAAAAAAAAAAAAGAAAAAGAAACACTGTGTTCAAAGCCTATAAAGCTGCAGGCCAGGATAAAGTGTCTGAAGATTTATTCTAAGCAAGGACCAAAAAAGAACCTGAGCATTCTGCTGTGATTCCTCAGTTACTAATGATAAAAGCAATGCAAGTCAGAAGAACGAAAAAAATGAATTATCAAAGAAATTGAACTAAAGAAACAACTAAGGAAGAAATTGTGCAGAATCTTTGAAAATGATTTCCCATGATTTCAACTGCAGCTTTCCAGAGCACCATGCTCTGGAGTTTTCCCATTTCATCAGCATTTTTCACTTTATAGTATCACTAAATATAGTATTAGTGGATAAAATTCATTAAGGGCAATAAGCAGATTAAACAAAAGAAAAACAGTTTTCACTGTGGATGCCTGAGGCAAATACTGAGAACAAAATGAACAGACAATAAAAGTTAGTGTTACTTGCAGTTAGTGTTACCACCCACAACTCTGCAAACAGTACAAATCAGAAGGTTGACTTACCTTTGCTATATTTCAAAACACTGGAAAATGACTTCATTTAAAAAATAAATAAATAAATAAATAAAATAAGAACTTATTCTGGCAACACCTCTTCCCATCCCCCCCCCCCCCCCCCCAAAAAAAAAAAAAAAAAAAAAAAAGTAGAAAAAGAGATAATTCCAGAGGGACCATTCAAAATACAGTAATGGCAGATGCACCACCTTTACAAATCAGCAACTTCAAGAGATTAAAGGAACTGGCCCACCATAAGATTGTTTAGGAACTAATCTCTCCTCTAAGTACAAGGGATGAACTGGATTTGATTGGACAAGACCTACGAACAAAAAAGCAAAAGTTTTCAATCTGTGTAACTGTATAGTACACCTAGCACTCTGGTAGAGACTTGTTCCAAGTTCAGACAGAGCTTTCCAAGCTCAACCATCTCAAAATTATTTATGTAAAAAACACCTGGTGAACACATTAGGAAAAAGTGAACAGTTTTCTTCCTTATAAGAACTGAAAAGTAGATTTTAAAATACAGAAGATTTAACCTCTGGCCAGAGGAATGAGGGAAAATTTCATTTTTAAAAATTTGTTGTTTTTTATTAAAAAAAAAAAAAGTTACAAACAATAGCACAATGGTGAATTATTTGCTCTATTTTTTCCTCTACAATGGTTACTGTCATTGATTGCTCTGTAGTGTGAAACAAGCATACATATTTACACAATACCTATTGCACACCCTGAAAATATGGATAATTAAGAACTTGAATAATTTTTTTTGAAGTTTGGCTAGCAGAACTCAGCAGACACTAGAATACACTGACTTTGCCAAATTAAATATGGAGCAAGAACATACATAAATTATTCCCCTCTTCCCAGGACATATTCATTTAATTGATTGCACAGATTTTACACTTTAACTATTTTACCATTCACCTGCTCTACTTATATAAGTATTTAAAAATGAAGAGACAGATAAGTGATCTGTGAAAACCTCTCTACTTTTTCATTACTCTTCTAGAAACACGGTTTGAACTGCTTATTAGAAAAACATAAGAAGGTAACAGGATTCCAACCTCAGCAGTCTCTAGTTTCATTACTTTCTGACATTCAGTACAGGTAATAACAGCAATGCTTTTGGCAAGAACATATGTGCCCCCTATAGGTTTAATGTATTCTTACCACAGAAATTTGGAAATAATTGAAACAACCATTATGCATTCCTAAACAGAAATTCAATATCAGAATAATAATAATAATAATAAAGAAAAAATCAGTAAGTATGTTTACATATGCACAAAGCAAATATTATATTATTCTATCAGACTTAAGCAATCTTTCCCATTCAAATCACTTTTCTTTTAAATATAATTCCTGCACAAAAACCTGCACAAAAGAGATTGCCCCAAGTATTTCCTTTCCTGTGCAGTGTCCCCTCCCTGCCACTCTCTCTGTCCCATAGCTTTCCCAAGTACAACAGCGAAAAGCTTCTGGAAGAAGTGCAGCATCTTTTTCTGAGTTTATTATAGAGTATTATGCATATTTATAGAACTGTATAAATGATTTATAATAATGCTGTTACAATTGCATTTGTATTTTAAAAGCTGGATCATGAATTTTACCTCCTTTAGCAGTAATGACATGCTGTTTTGGAAATACCATTAGCATCAATATACTATTTTATATATACAATTAGATCTCCGTAAGGTGGGTAAGACATAGGCGATAAATCTTGACTATTTAATGGTTTTCACATAAGTAACTGCAACTGAGGAACCACAGGGTAAAAATCTACTCAACATTACATTTGGTCTGTTAAAATAAGTAAATTCCAGTTAGCCCGGTATCCCTTAATAATATGCATAATACTTTTTTAAAGGCCTGATTGCAGATCTGGTTCCACACACTAGTTTCTAGTAGTATACCACAGAAAGTATGACAACTCTGAATAGAGACGAAGCATGCCTTTTTATTCCAAGCTACCTAATTCAGCCTTACCTGAGAGTTCTTAAATCCCAGAGTTTGATGCCATCACCTACAGCCGTGGTCACAAAGAGGTTGTAAGCTTCAGGTTGCTGAGTGCTGAATGCTGACCCCTGAAATATTAAAATTATTTTCAAATAAGTCTTCTCGTGACACTAAATATTTAGTCCATTCAAGAGTAAATATATAGTTTGTTAGACTGTGTGAATAAAAGTTTTTCTGCACACATAAAAAGGAGCACAGAGGACCACTGGCATGTGGAGGGTCCCCCACAATGCTCTTAGACAAATGCAGCATTGCCTCGACTTCTCTCAGGGCTATCCCAGAATAGCCACAAGCCCTTTGAGACAGGGATGACACCCACCAAAATTAGTCAAAAGGAGAGGTTCTCTTGGTTACCAAACAGACTGACAGGAATAGATGCCTATGGGTATGGGGTTAATTATGGTATTCAAGAGAATAACATTTTGGGATTGCACAAGACTTTATGGGCCTGTGTGTACTGGAGTGTTTGAGGGTTTGGGTACCAGCAACTGGTGGGGGACCGCAAGTCAGGTGGCCTGTTGGTCTAAGTGCCAGCTACTAGAGAGACTGGAGTGAGGGAAATTAAATGCCAGCAGTGGAGTTGGACCACAGGTAATAGGAGCCCAAGGATCTGAGATGTAAGCAACTAAGGCAAGAGAGGGTACATTAAGCCAGCACATGATCCCTAGTGAACTTTAAGCTAGCCAGTGAGCAGGTGAAGTGGTTTGGTAGCTAAGTGTGTGTGTCTCAGAAAATGAAGAACCTGGAAGAGCTGGCTACCAGAAGGCCCAGGCCAACCGCCAGAGAGACCACGTTGTGAGGGGGTCAACAACTGAGGAATCCCCCCACCTGTGGAGGCGGGTTAATAGGGGGTTGGAGTTGAATGGGACAACTTGAAAGAGCAAAGATCCAGGACCAGCTATCAGATGAACCACATCTAAAGTCTAAATACCATTCCTGGAGTAATCCTAAGCGTGTGCAAGGCTGCTGGTCTACACCAGCAGCTGGTGTAGGGCTGCAGGTCTCAGGAGTTTGCTTACCCTGGTGCCAGCAGCTGGAGATAGCAGAGATCCAGGGCCAGCTAGTGGACAATCCCTATCTAAGCCACTCTTCCCACTAATGGACTTTCATCCAAATCAGCCAAAGAGGGAAAAATGATGCGGCTGTCAGTGATGTCTACGTTTGTGTGAGTGCTGAGTGCTTTTGTCTGTGTTGACCTGTGTATGTGTATATATGTGCCAACTGGGAACACAAGTTCAGCCTCACTACTGGCTGGGCCCAGGGGAAGGGACCTATGGCAGTCTCAACTCCATTGGGTTACTGGATTCATCTACTTCTAACAACATTTTACCAGAACTTCAGAAGCATTATTTGGCTTTGTAAAGCTGGCGAGATTCAGTTTATGCAAACTTCCTAGACCTATTCTATATGTTTACTATTCATCAGTTTTCAGCTGACCCTTCAAAAAAACATAATTCCCAAAGCCTCTCACTGTAACATATACTAGTTTAACTTCACATCTGTTTGCAGTAGAAAACAATTGTTATGATCCTCACAATCATTAAGATCTTCAAAGAAAGGGTGTCACCACAAAAACATTTTAAAAGCAGCAAGACCTCAATACTTTCCCAGATCCTTAAAGGAAGTTTCAGGTTGTATTTTCTATCTTCATTCAAGGCTTTCTTGTTACTAAAGGACAGCAAACCATATGAATATTGCCCAACAGCATGTCAAGGAAGTTTCATGTCACCAGAACAAACTAATTTTACACCTTCCCATAGGCATGGCCAAAATATTGACCAATTATACAAATGTGAAATGGCCAACAGCCTTTCATTAGTAAATCATGTATTCCAATGATTAATTAGAGGACTGTAGCACTCATAGAATGACTAATCAATTAAAATTTGTTCATATTAAAGCAGAAAATGGATATGTAATATCAGCAGGGAACATTTTTAGCAAATTCTAGTTTAAAGCTACTTTTTGTGAGGAACACCTCACGTAGATGAAAATAATATCTGGAATCTGAAAAGAAGTAAAAATAGAAAACCTTAAGCAATCAACTATCTTTACAAAGCCTAACTATGTTATACAGCCAGAGTAGTCCAACATTTAACTATAAGCCATGTTTATCCCTGGCATAAGTGGGCACACTTTCCACTGACTTCAGTAGTAATTGCACTCATTCATACCAGGAGCAGTTTTGGCTTCATACCTTTAAATAATTAAATCTGGTCTATCTTTAAACCTCTGATTTTTTAACATCCACATTGGCAAACCTTGACCTTTTTACTGGCTACAAACTTCTTTCTCCAGGGAACTAAATATAAACAGTTGGAACTCCTTCTTTCCTTTCCCCACCATTCACATTCTTGATTTGGCTGAATACATCACAAAAACCTCAAGGCCATTTCCCGCAATCAGTTCTTGACTGCCAGGAATCTTCTATTCCTTGCGAAAACTGGTGTATGGGTGGAAAGTGCTCCAGTACTTTTTCAAGAAATTTCCCCAAATGGCAAGACAAAGCGGGGCACTCAGAACTAAAAAGACTATAGGAGTTTTCACTTCCTAAACTAAGGATTACCACAGCCTGCTCTAACAGATGAAATGAAATACACTGTGCCACTGATTTTCCAACAAAGACAAAGTCTACACATTCTCACATTAGCTCTGTATATACATTCTGTAAAAAGAATAATTGCAAGAGAGAAAGACAATATTTGTCCAAAGGATGGTGTTCATTAAGTTACAGAGTACCCTCATTTATGTGATTTGGAAATTATTCACCATTTCTTTCTTCAGTCACCAGTCATCACAGAGTCTAATAAAAAACACTCTCTAGACAAGTGCATATTTACTTCCAGCAACACTCCTTTACTTTATGAAGCATGAACAGTAATACATGTGATCAAATATTAATATAAATCATTTGTTCCGTCCTTGCCCTGATGTTTTGTCAGTAACATACTTTTCCAATCTAAAGCCATACTTGTATCCTCAAACTACAATTGCTACTGAGTATTGCTATAAAAAGTATACTAGTTGGGATACTATGCAAGCTGAATGTTGTTTATCCCTTCGTGTTTTTATCATCTGTTAATTTATAAGAATCTATCCTAAAATACAAAGTAGTAGTATATGTTAACACACTCTGCAATCTATATTTTTTGCTTCCGCTAAAAGGACACAGTTCAACAGAATGCCTATCTAATTCACTGATTACATATAAATACCATGAATATCACCTGAACAGTCTGGTTGGCTTATGTTAAAGGCATCAATCAATAGCTATCTCAGAAAGCACTCCACACCTTATAGGCAAATACATACCTTCAGACAGGTTTGTCAGCACAGCTAGGAAAAAATTAGCTGACTGTTCAAATACTATATAATTTCTGAGTTTCTTATTTCATTTTTCATCATATACATTTCCTAGCAAATAGACCAATGTACTTTGAAAGAAAAGGTCCTGGAGAGAAAACCAAAAACCTTGCTGTTTCTCTGAAAATTAATGTATTCTTTTATTGTTCTTGCTCGTAGGACACAATACCCTCAAAATATTTGCTATTGGTGATGATGGACTCTTGCTCAAAAAGTACATTTTACAGTAGTACAACTGTGCTGTTAACTCTAAAGTTCTGGATCTGCATAATCTGATATCAAATTGACACCCATTTCTGTATCTCAGTGGTTTCCAAACTGAGAAACAGGAACACAATTTTGATATTTCAGTCAATTTATTTTATTACGTGACTTAAACATTAGTATACAAAGCAAAACACTCATGGCTCCAACAGAAACCATGAAAAGTCAAGTAATAATTCGGCAATCATCAATAAACATTTCTCTTTAGGTGATCTTATGTATCAAAACAAAATTGTCAAGTTGTATCACTGTTTGAAAAACAAGAAGTTAAGGCAATGTAAATCCATTATAATTAGCTTAGGATGTTCACCTTGTCAGGCTTGTTAGACCTCCAAGACTATTTGCCAAAGTGTGATGAAGTTACTATTGCCAGAATAGCAACATTTGCTCATTGCATCAAAGGGAGCTTAATGGCACCACTAGGGTCTAGTAATAACCTGCACTAAAAAATGTCATAAGCAGTTTTGAGAGTAAGGTCAGGAAACCAGAACATCCCCCTCCCAGGTGGCTGTTTCCTCCATGCCACACTTTCTCTTGCTCCCTCTCTCTCTCTGAAGCCTGCCCTGTGTACCATGACATAGGTTAAGGGAAGAGTGAAGGTTCACTTCAATGAGAAGTGGATGATTTCCATCAGTATCCTCAGTTGGAGGAGAGCAGTGAACCTCCACCTGCCATTTTCTGAGCAAATGACCTGAAAACTAAGCTATTTCATGAACCTACAGCAGTATCATCACCACATCTCTGAAGACTGTAATTAGCATAAACATGGTTTCATTAGGAAATTGAGTAACTATACGGTCTGCTGATTTTCATCTAGAATTTTTTAACCTGCTCCCCTGTTTAAATCCAATCTGACAGAGAAATAAAAGTCTAGTGATAATTATATTTCCACAAGATACATGTAAATGAGTAATTAGCATACAAAAATTCAAACCAGAACAGCCATTAAGTGCCTTTGTTTTGAAAGCCACTAACCAGCCAACACGTGTCATTCAGAACAGGCATGCATGCAAATATTGTGCATTTCTCAGTCAACTAGTAACAAGGACACGACATGAAGATGACATTGCAATCAGGGAAGAGTGTTAAGTGAACACAGAGAACAAAACTGGAAGTGCAAGTGGTGCAAAAGAAGGTCATAAAGAATATAATACTTAGATTGGAGTTCTGGTGGGTTTGGAAGGTGATATTTATGACACGGGCTTAAAATCCTTTAGAAAGGATACTGAGTTCATTTCATTACTGCTAGAAGAACCTGTATACAAAGACAGATGAGTTTTCTATCATCAACACATGTCCTTGAACAACTGAGGACAATTTGGTGCCAAGAGGCTTTGCTAAGGAAACAAGAATACGCTGAGATTTTTAATAAGCATTAATATGCTCAATTAAATCAAGATCATAGAACTTCAAAGCAAGCTGTATAAGGCCTACAGTTCTG